GACACATTTTTGTGACATTCTAAATAGGCATTTACTATAGAGTGAAGCAAAGAAACTGGAGTTCAAGCCCAATGTTCTGAATTCTTTTATTTACTTGTTCAGATAAGTACAGTGGAGTGCAACTTGAACTCATAATTGGTGGTTCTCAATACACAGTCTATAAATACATGTACCTCAAAAATATAAACACTGCAGATCAAACAGATATTATCTTGACACTTCTTTTTCTTGCTCTCTTTTCCAGAAATAACCACTATTATCAATCTTGTGTACATTTTCCGGTCCATTTTCTCTCTAAATATTTGCATTCTCTACTAAAATAAACTTCATGGAAATGGATAGTTGATACCCCATTACTCTTGGTTGAATGAATGAATGTGTATCTGTGTATATGTGTGTGTGGTCACAAATTATATATATATATATATATATATATATATATATATATATACACACACACACACAAACACATATATGCTGACTGCTTTGTGTATGTTTTGAATGTGTTTTGATATAAATGATATTGCTTTGTACTAATTACTTGGCAACTTTTTTTTACTGAACAACATCTCTTGGGAATATGTCCACGTTACCACATCTTGTTCTATTTCATTCATTTTAACTGCTGTTAAAATGTAGTTTATGCTATGGATATTTATCTGTCCATTTCTCTACTGATGGATATTTACATATTGTCTGTATTTTCCCCTTCATAAGCCTATAACAGAAATGCTGGCAAAATTTTCTTCCCACATGTGCATGTATTTTTACGGAATTGTTCCTTAGAAGTAAGTTGTTGAGTCAAATGTTATGTGCTGTTTTAATAAACATTGCCAAATTACCCTCCACAAAGACTTGCAGCTTTCTAGCTGTGCATGAGAGCATGTTATTTCCCTACGTGCTCGCCAACATCAGATATTATTAATTCTTTTAATTATGTCAATCTGATGGGTGAAATGGTGGTTTTTAAAAAATATGACATTCAATCGATCATTAGATATAGCCTCTTTCTGTATGCATGTTGGCCTTTCTCAGTGCAAGTCTATCTTTTATGCATTTTCTCTTCTTTTGCTATTTCAGAGGAAAAAAATTCTCCTTTCTTGATGTCCAAGAATTAATACTTAACGCCTCTTTGTTTTGCCAATACCTTCTTTCTTAAGCATCTTCAATTTTCCTGTCTTTTCATACTTCTTCCTCAGGCTGCAAGTATGTTGGAACGAAAGTCTGTATTCAACTCTACCATTCCCTTTATCCTATCCCTTGCTCGCTCTGCTTTTAAACTTGTCAAACGAGTGCTCTGAATCTGCTACTCTCACCTCCTCTAGTCGATGACATCGGTGAGGTCATTCAGTCCTAATTTTACTGAGTTTTAAAAGTTCTTTTAGATCCTGCTGCCACTTCTTTGTACCCACAGTCTTCTCTGAACTTCCAAGATAACGTCCCATTTCTTGTCTTGCCTCTAGAACGAATTTCCTAATTTCTTAAGCTTATTTTTTCCCTCCTTTTACCTGTAAGTGTGGATGTTCAACAGTTTTTATTTTTGGACTTTTGTTCCTTTTTCTTCACTTGTTGCTTTGGAGATCTCTTCCATTCCAAATATTTCAACTATTTTTACTCCACAGATGACCCCCAAAGTCAGTATTTCTAGTCCTGATGTCTCATTAAAAATCCAGATTTTCACTCGCACTTTTCTGATTGAATTGGACCACTGTAACTTCAAGGTCAGAACACCAAACAACATTTATTATCTTCCTCTCTCTCAAACTAATTTCTGTGATTTTATCAACTTTTTTCTTTGTATGTAATGAGAAAGAGAACATCTTCCTTTCCAAGTAGCAAATTCTCTCTGGATAAAGACTAATTTTGTCTCCTGAATACTTTGGTGAGTCAGTTTAGATGCAGGGGAATAGGTAAGAGGGCAAAGTAAGGAAGGACTGAGCTTGTATAGAAAGAGGCTTCTATGCAACTGCTTTCCAAGTGGGGCTGATCTGCTGTTACACTTTTGTTTTGCTGGATACGCTTTCAAGAGCTGAATTGTCTGCAGCTATAATGAGGATGACAGTGGCTGTGGAAAGAAAGAGGAGGAAAAAGGTAGCTGGCAACCAGAATGGAAATTTGGCAAAAGAACAGACATGTTTAAGAGGGATTTTATGAAGCTTTGCCCTGCTGCACTGCATGCATGATACACTAGCTTACTTGTCTCTCTGGAAAATCTGCAGCACAAAACCTTTTCTTCCTGACTGCTTATGATTAATTGTGATTAATTCGTTAAAATGTGATTTTTTATTGCATTTTAGGTTTTGGGGTACATGTGATGAACATGCAAGATTGTTGTATAGGTACACACTTGGCAGTGTGGTTTGCTGCCTTCCGTCCCCTCACCTGTATCTGTCATTTCTCCCCATGCTATCTCTTCCCACCTCCCCACCCCCCCGCCCCTCCCCCATTTCCCCCCAATGGACCCCAGTGTGTAGTGCTCCCCTCCCTGTGTCCATGTGTTCTCATTGTTCAACACCCACCTATGAGTGAGAATATACGGTGATCTTAATTATTGACACTCTCTTGCTTAAACTTTCTCAGTGGTTTTCTGTTGTTCAAACACTGTATCCAAAATAATTCTTTCTTTTAGAGTTTTATTAAAATGCACTTGACAAACAATAGACGTCTTTAAAATGTACAATTTGACAAGCTTTGACATATTTAGACACCTGGGAAACTATCATAAAAATTAATGTAATGCTGTGGTACTGGTACCAAAACAGAGATGTAGACCAGTGGAGCAGAACAGAAGCCTTGGAATTAATGCCATACATCTACAAACATCTGATCTTTAACAAACCTGACAAAAACAAGTAATGGGGAAAGGATTCTCTGTTTAATAAATGGTGTTGGGGAAACTGGCTAGCCATGTGCAGAAAGCAGAAACTGGACCCCTTCCTTAAAACTTATATAAAAATTAACTCCAGATGGATTAAATAATTAAACATAAGATCGAACAGCATAAAAACCCTAGAAGAAAACATAGGCAATACCATGCATGACATAGGCATAGGCAAGGACTTCATGTCTAAAACACCAAAAGCAATGGCAACAAAAGCCAAAATAGACAAATGGGATCTAATTAAACTACAGAGCTTCTGCATAGCAAAAGAAACAATCATTAGAGTGAACCATCAACCAACAGACTGGGAAAATTTTTTTGCAATTTACTCATCTGACAAAAGGCTAATATCCAGAATCTACAAAGAACTGAAACAGATTTACAAGAAAAAAACAAACCCATTCAAAAGTAGGCGAAGGAAATAAGCAGACACATTTCAAAAGAAAACATATATGAGGCCAACAAACATGAAAAAATGCTCATCTTCACTGATCATTAGAGAAATGCAAATCGAAACTACATTGAGATACCATCTCACGCCAGTTAGAATGGTGATCATTAAAAAATCTGGAGACAACAGTTGCTGGAGAAGATGTAGCAAAATAGGAACGCTTTTACACTGTTGGTGGGAGAGTAAATTAGTTCAACCATTGTGGGAGACAGTGTGGTGATTCCTCAAGGACCTAGAAATAGAAATTCCATTTGACCCAGAAATCCGATCACTGAGTATATATGCAAAGGATTATAAATCGTTCTATTATAAGGACACATGCACATGAATGTTCATTGCAGTGCTGTTTACAATAGCAAATACTTGGAACCAACCCAAATTCCCATCGATGATAGACTGGACAGGGAAAATGTGGCAGATATCTACCGTGGAATACTATGTAGCCATAAAAAATGATGAGTTGGTGTTCTTTGTAGGGACATGGATGAATCTGGAAACCATCATTCTCAGCAAACTGACACAAGAACAGAAAATCAAACACTGCATGTTCTCACTCACGGGTGTTGAACAGGAAGAACCCATGGACACAGGAAGGGGAGCATCACACACTGAGGTTGTTGGGGGGAACTAGGGTAGGGACAGTGAGGGGTAGGGAGTTGGGGATGGATAAGGTGGGGAGAAATGCCAGATATAGGTGATCGGGAGGAAGGCAGCGAACCACATTGCCATGTATGTACCTGTGCAACAATCCTGCATGTTCTTCACATGTACTCCAAAACCTAAAATGCAATAAAAAAAAAAAAAAAAAAGAAAGCGTTTTGTGAGTTCAGTTGAAGTTGTCCTGTAACAACTGATGGTCTGTTTACTTTCAAAAATTATTTTTATTTCCTCTATTCTCCATTTTTGGTTTGCCTTTGTTGCTATATCTTTATAGCTTACTAACATTTTCTACTACATTGTCTAATCTACTATTAATCTCATCCAGTGTATTTTTCATCTCAGATATTGTAATTTTCAGCTCTAGAAGTTGGATCTGGGGCTTTTAAAAATATCTTTCATGTCTGCTTAACATCTCTAGTTTAACTTATTTATTTTTAAATTAAATTTAATAATAATTACTATTTTTACTGACACCTGTGTCAGTTTTTTCCTTCATTATACACTGTATTTTTTCTACTTTTTTGCATGCCCGATATTTTTTTATTTTATTCCATACATTGAGTTTTAATTTTGTGTTGGACTTTTTATTTTTCTATAAATATTTTTGAACTATGTTTTAAAATATGGTTCTTGGAATAATCTGATTCTTTTGTACCTGGCTTTAATCATTTGTTAGATGAGAACAGAGCAGCATTTAGTTTAAAGATCATTATTCCCCACTTCCATGTCGAAACACTTCTGAGCTCTTGTTCCAATGTACCCGTGAATTTTAATGTTTTCGAGTTTGGCTGGTGAGACTATACACTACTACTGGCCCTACATGAAATTCGGTTACTATTCTCTTCAATCCTTTGTGTAGTTATTTTCCCAGTCTCAGGTGGTTTTCTCACACTCATGCTCTTGTTAATACCCTACTGAATACTAAGAGTGAGCCCTCTGAAGACCTCATAAATTCTCTCTTTGCCCACCTCTCTCTTCTACCGTCCTCAGCCCTGTGAACTCTACTTGCCTTAGTCTCCTTGAACTCTCAGCTGTGTCTCCCTGACTCGAGGAGTTTGATGGTTTCCCCTGGATTTCCCCGCTGTGTGCCATGGTCTGGAAGTTGTCTCAAGGTGGTAAGCTTGGGTTATTATAAAAACTCACCTCATTTTTTCTTGTCCTTCCTTGCACAGTGTCTCATGTCTTGAAAACCAGTGCTTTATATATTTTGTACCTTATTTTGTTTTTGCTGGAAATAGAAAGTCAATTATTTTTATTAAAGAGATTTTAAAAATAACACAAATACGATTTTTTATATTTATCACATATTTACTAAGGATATTCTATCTGTAATAGTCTGTAGCTGGTTTGCATTAGCTCATAGGACCCAGTCGTTACATATCCAGAAATTTTGTGAGCCAGTTGTTAAAAATTGTTGTTTGCTTGAATTTGGTCATGGTGGGAATATTTATATTCACAAAATTAGTCAAAATGCTATAAATCCAGGCTTTTTCTTTTTTTTCCCTCAAAGAGAGCTGGCTTAACAACTCCATCTGGACTTTTTTTCATTTTGCCTGAAAGACATCCTTTAACATTTCTTATAGTGTATGTGTTTCCCGGTGAATAATTATTTTAGTTTTTGTATGCCTGAGAAGTTTATTGTGCCAATGTTTCTGAAAGATATTTTCACTGGATATAGACTACTAGGTTAGCAGGAATTTTTTTGCTTTAAATAATTTAAAGATGTTCCTTCACACTCTTGCCTAAATTGTTTCTAGTGTTAGATGACTGCAGTCATTCTTAACTATGTTCACTTGTACATAGTGTGACTTTTTTCTCTGACTTCTTTTTGAGACTTTTCTTTAATCATTAGTTTTAAGCAATTAGATGATAATATATCTTGTTAAAGTGTTCTCCATGTAACTTGTACTTGGAGTTCACAAAACTTCTTCAATCTGTGTTTTTTTCTTTTCTTCAAATTAAAAACTGTTTAAGCTATTAGTTATTAAATTTCTTTTTTCTGTATTAGTCCTCCAGTTTTTGTTTGTTTGTTTGTTTGTTTTTGTTTTTTTGGTTTTTTTTTTGGACAGAGTTCCTGTTGCCCAGGCTGGAGTGCAATGGCAGTATCTCAGCTCACTTCAGCTTCTGCCTCCCAGGTGCAAGAGATTCTCCTGCCTCAGGCTCCCGAGTAGCTGGGGCTACAGGCACACGCCACCATGCCCAACTCATTTTTGTGTTTTTAATAGAGGCAGGGTTTCACCTTGTTGGCCAGGTTGGCCTGGATCTCCTGACCTTGCGATCCACCAGCCTCAGCCTCTCAAAGTATTGGGATTACAGGCAGGAGCCACAACACCCAGCTTAGTCCTCCAGTTTTATAGGACTCTCAATATTAGGCTGCTTGATGTTGTCCTACAGCTCACTGATGCTCTGCTCATTTTTTCTTTAAAGTCAGTTTCTTTCTGTCTTTTCATGTTAGGTGATTTCTATTACCTTGTCTTAAAATTCGATCTGAGATACATAATCTGCTCTTAATACCATCCAGTGTATTATAAAATCACATTTATTGTATTTTACATTGATAGAAGCTTTATTTGTCTTTAAAAATGTCCGTATCTCTTCTTAACATAGGTATACTCTCTTCTATCCTTCCAAATATATTGAATATGTATTTATTAGTCTTGTCTGCTAATTCCATAATGTGCATCATTTCTGGATCTGTTTTTCTTGAGTGTTTTTCTCTCCTATTTTTCTGTTTTTTTTTTTTTTGCATATATGACTTTTTAAAATCAGATATCAGATATTTGAACTTTTTTTTTTTTTTGAGACACAATCTTGCTCTGCCATCCAGGCTGAAGTGCAGTGGTGTGATCTCGGCTCACTGCAACCTCCGCCTTCTGGGTTCAAGCGATTCTCCTGCTTCAGCCTCGCAAGTAGCTGGGACCACAGGTGCATGCCACTATGCCCAGCTAATTTTTTTGTATTTTTAGTAGAGATGGAATTTCACCTTGTTAGCCAGGATGATCTCAGTCTCCTGACATTGTGATCTGCCCACCTTGGCCTCCCAGAGTTCTGGAATTACAGGCATGAGCCACCGCACCTGGCCTGAATTTTATGTTTCTAGCTACTGGAGTATTTGTATCACTTAAAGAACTTTAGGACTTTATTTTGTGATGCAGACAGATTATAGAGAAACAATTTGATATTTCTGAGTCTTGTTTTGAAGCTTTGTAAGTTGTATCTAGGACAGTCTTTAGTGACAGCAAATTTGCACCCCCTACTGGGGTGATCCATTTCTGAGACTTCTCCTAAATGACCTCTGTGTTAGGAGGTCTCCCACTCTGGCTGATGGAAGGACCCATCTGTTCCTGGCCCTGTGTGGACTTTGAGTTGTTTCTGCTTGATCCATCAAGTGGTCTTTCCCTGGCTTCAGATTGTTTTCTTGTATGCACTGGTCAGAGCAGTTGAAGAGTCACTGAGAGTCCAATGCATATTCCAGAGCTCTTCCCACCCACTGCTTTCTCCTCCCTGGGTCTCTTCCCTGGAATTTTAGCCATATTGGCCTCCTCAACCCATGAACTCAAGTCTCCTTAACTCACAGAGACTATCAGGCACTGTTTGGGCTTCTCCTCCCTGCAATACTGCCTGAAAAACATCTCTAGGCTATAAACTGAGGCCATCACAGGGTTCCCTTTATTTGTTTCATTTCTCTCAGGGATCATGATCTTGAGCCATCTGTTGTCCAGTGTTTTATGTATTTCATGCATTTTAATTGTTTCAGGTTTGAGGGTAAATTCAGCCTCTGTTACTCCATCATAGAATTCTCTCAGACACAGACTTTTAAAAATATATATATATTTTATTGTGTTTTAGTTTTGGGGTACATGTGAAGAACATGCAGGATTGTTGCTTAGGTACATAGATGGCAATGTGGTTTGCTGCCTTCCTTCCCATCACCTATATCTGGCATTTTCCTCCATGTTATCCCTCCTCAACTCCCCACCCCCTGCTGTCCCTCCCCTAGTTCTCCCCGACAGACTCCAGTGTGTGATGCTCCCCTCCCTGTGTCCATGTGTTCTCCTTGTTCAACACCCGCCTATGAGTGAGAATATGCGGTGTTTGATTTTCTGTTCTTGTGTCAGTTTGCTGAGAATGATGGTTTCCAGGTTCATCCATGTCCCTACAAAGGACACCAACTCATCATTTTTTATGGCTGCATAGTATTCCACGGTGTATATGTGCCACATTTTCCCTGTCCAGTCTATCATCAATGGGCATTTAGGTTGGTTCCAAGTCTTTGCTATTGTAAACAGTGCTGCAATGAACATTCGTGTGCATGTGTCCTTATAATAGAACGATTTATAATCCTTTGGATATATACCCAGTAATGGGATTGGTGGGTCAAATGGAATTTCTATTTCTAGGTCCTTGAGGAATCACCACATTGTCTTCCACAATGGTTGAACTAATTCACACTCCCACCAACAGTGTAAAAGCATTCCTATTTCTCCACATCCTCTCCGGCATTTGTCTCCAGATTTTTTAATGATCACCATTCTAACTGGCTTGAGATGGTATCTCAGTGTAGTTTTGATTTGCGTTTCTCTAATGACCAGCGATGATGCACATTTTTTCATATGTTTCTTGGCCTCATATATGTCTTCTTTTGAAAAGTGGCTGTTCATATCCTTCACACACTTTTGAATGGGCTTGTTTTTTTTTTTTTTTTTTTTTTTTTTGTAAACTGTTTTAGTTCTTTGTAGATTCTGAATATTAGCCCTTGGTCAGATGGGTACATTGCAAAAATTTTTCTCATTCTGTTGGTTGCCGATTCACTTTAATGAGTGTTTCTTTTGCTGTGCAGAAGCTCTGGAGTTTCATTAGGTCCCATTTGTCTATTTTGGCTTTTGTTGTCAAAGCTTTTGGAGACACAGATATTTTAAGCTTTAGGAAATTCTACTGTAACCTGTCTTCGTGTATTATCTTCTTCCCTTAGGTTCATCTTCTTACAATTCTTCACTGATGTCCTGTACTTTCAGCCTCTGTATCTTTGGTTACACCATTCATCCTTTCTTGACTTTTAATCTCATTTTTATCAGTCTAAAACCCTTTGCCTTTTTCACAGACCAACTCAGAGTCTGTCTCTTATGTGACAGTTTACACTGAGCCTCGTACCTGGAAGTAATCTCTTTCATAAACTTTTTTGAGTTTATCCTGCTTGGGTTTTGCTAAGCTTCCTGGATGTGTGGGTGGATAATATTTCTCATGTCTGAAACATTTTGGCCACTGTTTTAAAAATATTTGTTTACTGTCACCACTGTTTTTCCTCTATATTGAAGACTCCAGTCATATGTGTGCTAGGTGGCTTGATATTGTTTCAGAGTTCTTGAGACTCCTTCCAGTTTTTGTAGTTGTTCAGCATTATTTTTCCTCCTCTTATTTTGACAGTTTCTGTCGTCCTGATTTCAAGTGCATAGACATTCTCCTATAGTGTCTGCTTCATTTTAAGTTTATCTAGCAAAATTTTCGTTTCAGATATTTTTTGAGATCTAGAAGTTCTATTTAGTTTTTTTATAGTTTCTTTTTCTCTCTTCATTATGTTGTGTTTTACTATAAATCCTTGAACATATTTATAATAGCCATTTTAATATAATAGCCATTTATAAATCCCATTATTTTAATTCACCATCTCTGTTGTTTCTGGGTTGATTTCAATTGCCGAATACTACTACTGAGCATAGATACATTTTCCAGTTTCGAAGTGTATCCCATAATTTCTGACTGGATGCTCAACACTATGTTACTTTTTTTATTGTATGAATTTTGTTTTCTTCTCTCAGAGTTGAGCTTTATTCTAGTGTGCAGTTAACTTGCTTGCAGATCAACTTGTCTGCTTTTCCTTTCAAGGGCTCTTCTAAGCTTTGTTAGGGTTAATGTACTGTAGGCTTATTCTGTGCCATTTGAGTCCTACTCTAAGTTATGGGCTTTCTGAGATGTCTGTTAAATGTTCCAGGCGTTCAACAGAGCTATTCTGATTGGTCAGAGCCTCTGTATCTGTATACACAAGACTGTATCTCTCTCAGTCTTGACCAAGATCTAGTAATTATTCATACCACAGTTCACCAGCAGTTGTGAATTC